CTTTTCTCTACCTTATCCTACATCTCACTAATTTGATCCTTGGCTTCATCCAGCCTGCTTTCAATTCCTTCTGCTATGTTCTTCAATTCAGAAATGGTATTCTTCATATCCTCTTGTGTCTTCTTGGTAGTTTCTATGTCCTTTTCCATGTTGATAGAGTTTGCTGTAAGATCCTGATAGTTTCTCTGCAGTTTCTCACAGTTATCTTTGAGCTGGCTGAGCTCATTGAGCTTCCTTAGAACCATTGTTCTGGATTCAATATCTGATAGTTCCCTTGCCTCTATTTCATTTAGCTCTCTCTTTGGGGATTCCCTTTTTCTCCTCATTTGGTGGGAACTTCTTTTTCTTACCATTTTTGTGAGAGTGTGTTAAGTAATTTATTTATTTGTTTGTTTGTTTGTTTTTGCTTCTGCTTCAATTGGGCCATCTAGATTTCCTGACTTTGTGGATTAAACTTCTATGGTAGTAGGCAGGTCTTTTTATTTATTTATTTATTTATTTATTTATTTATTTATTTATTTATTTCCCTTTACTTTTCTTTCTGGGCCTGCTTCTGGTGATGTCAGTTGTTGACACTGCATGGCCTTGGGTCATTTGTTTGAGCCTGCCAGGGGTCTACTGTCTGTGTCTGACTCCTGCTTTGGGCAGCTCTGTGACCTCTTCGGCCAGGGATCCACTATTTCTGTGGATTGCTTTGCACTATCATGGTGGCTCCTTGAGCGCACTCCCTGGCCTGGCTGGGTCTCCCACCTGCCTGGGCACGCCTTTGGTCCGTCCTGGGCCCATGCGCTTGCCCCACCCCAGGGTGGCTTACTCACCCAACCTCGCATGCTCGCCTGGTTCCCGTGCCTGGCGGGCTACCTGGCACTAGTCAGTTTAGGGTCTTCTATTGTATGTTTTCCCCGCTTTTGGCTCTTTGGGAGCATGGCCTGCCCGTGCAAAATGGAGACTACAGAAATGGGAAGATGTCAGCTCCAGGACTCTCCAGTTAATCCTGTCTCCAGTCTCTCCCCCAGGGTCTTTGGGCAGCTCAGTGACCCCTTTGGCTAGGGATCCACTATTTCTGCGGACAGTGTTATGATCACATACTGTGTGGCTTCCAGCCCACTTCTACCTCTTTAGGGGCGTGTCCTGCCTGTGCAGATGGGGACTACGGAATCGGGAGGGACTCTGCTCCAGTGATCTCAGATAATCCTCCAGTTATTTCCCCAGCCCCTCCATCTTCAGTCTCTCCTCAAGGGTCTCTATGCAGCTGTGTGTCCCCTTTGGCCAGGGATCCTCTATTTCTTCCAGCCAGTCTGCACTCTGCCCCTAGCGCACATGCACACAAGCTGTGTGTGGGGAGCACAAAAGGCAGGTTAATTGATTCTCTTACGCCTGAGTGAGGTGGTAGCTGCAGAGTGGGAGCTGAGTTATGACCGGGCCTCCGCTGGCCACCGTCTCAGTTCTCTTCACAAAGTTTTCCTTTCCAGTCTTTCCTTAGGCACCAGCCCACTCTCCTGCTGCCTCTTCCCAGGGATAATGAAGGCAGCTGCCAGTGCAAATTTTTGCTTTGGCCCTTTAAATGTCTCTTTGCATCTCCAGCCACCTGTCTCTGGCAGAGAGTGCCCCTAAGCTTTTCAAGGTTGCGTTTTGTCTGTGAGGTTTCCTAGTTTAAGCTGCTGTAGTCTAGGGGTACCTGTTTATGGTTCAGACCCTATTCTTCTCAGGGGGATCCAACTGGCCGTTTCTGTGTCCCTCTGGTGCTGGAGTCCGTGGGCACCCAGCCCACCCTCTCAAGCCCCCACCGCACTTCTTACCCGTTCAGATATATGAAAGTTGAACCCATTATCTGTCCGCAGCTCCAAGGCTCTTCTCCCTCTATCGTTCCATTGTTTTCCAGGTGATTTCTCCACTATTTAGTCGCAATTCCAATTTGGTCTTGGGAGGATGTCCGCATGACTCCCATTTACTCCTCCACCATCTTTTTTCCTCCAGATTAATTTCAGTTGTTGATTGATATGTATTTTTTGCCATTTTATTGTTCATAGTTTTGATCTTTTTCTTAAAGAAGCCCCTTTAACATTTCATATAATAATGGTTTGGTGATGATGAACTCCTTTAGTTTTTTCTTGTCTGAAAAACTCTTTATCGGCCCTTCTATGCTAAGAGATATTTTTGCTGGCTAGAGCAAACTTGGTTGTAAGTATCTGCTTTTCATGACTTTGAATATTTCTTGCCAATCCCTTCTAGCTTACAAAGTTTCTTTTGAGCGATTGGCTGATAGTCTTATGGGAACTCCCCTGTAAGTAACTAACTGCTTTTCCCTTGCTGCTTTTAAGATTCTCTGTATCTTTAACCCTTAGCATTTTAATTATGATGTTCCTTGGAGTGGGCCTTTTTGCATCCATCATAATTTGGACTCTCTGCACTTCCTAGACTTGCATGTCTGTTTCCTTCACCAAATTAGGGAAGTGTTTTTTTCATTATTTTTTCTAATAGATTTCCAACTTCTTGCTCATTCTCTTCTCCTCCTAGCACCCCTATGATCCGAATGTTGGAATGTCTCCTGTTGTCCCAGAGGCTCTTTACTCTATCCTCTTTTTTAGTGCATTCTCTTCTCTTCCTGCTGTTCTGATTGATTGATTTTCCTTCCTTATGTTCCAAATCATTAATTTGATTCTTGGCTTCATCCACTCTACTATTGTTTCCCTGTAAATTGTTCTTTATTTTAATTACTATAACCTTCGTTTCTGACTGGATTTTTTTATGGTGTTGAGGTTCTCACTACTTTACTTGAGCATCCTTATAACCAGTGTTTTGAGTTCTGCATCTGATAAATTGCTTGTCTCCATTTTAAGTTGTTTTTCTGGAGTTTTGATCTGTTCTCTCATTTGGGCCATGTTTCTTGGTCTCCTCATTTTGGTAGCCTCCCTGTGTTTATTTCTGTGTATTAGGTAGAGTTGCTGTGACTCCCTGTCTTGGTAGCATGACATTATGGGGTAGGTGTCCTGTAGGGTCTAGTGGCACAATCTCCCCTATCACCCAAGCTGAGTACTGAAGGTGCACCCTTTATGTGGGCTGAGTACACCCTCCTCTTCTAGTTGAGCCTTGGTTGCTGTTGGCAGATCAATGGGAGAGATTTACCTAGGCCAGTCAACTCTATGGACTGTCTGTGACCACTTACCTCCAACCTGTGCTCTCCATGGAGGATCAGCTTGTACAGGGACAGGGCAGTGGTGCTTGACATGGTCTGTAGCCATCCACTGGGTACACAGGCTCTGAGGTTTCCCAGGTGGTACAGGCTATTGTCAGCTAACACCTTGCTTTTGCCTGGGGCCACCAGGCTGAGCTGTAAAGCAATCTGAGATGGCCACTACATGCGCTGGACTTGGAGATTCCCAGATGATTCTAGACTGGTTGCTCTTAGTGCTGTGCTTGGGACCCCTCAGCAAGGGGCCGAGGGCTCACTGAGTCTGGCTGTTGCTTCCTTGAGAGAATTTAGGAATTTGTGAAGCATGAGCCAAGACCAGCCATCCCTGTGGAAGAGCAGCTTGGGTGGACCTGTTAAGTTAGGTGGGACTGAGTCTCTGGGGATCTCCAAGGCCAGTCATACAGAGTTAATCAAGTTGATAGAGTCTCACTAGCCTGTCGGCTCTTTGGCTCTTTTAGGGGAAGTTTAGAAATGGGGCAAAGGCCTCTGCATGCCTTTATTCCAGATACTTCTACTTCTCCCTGTATTCCACTGGTGCCTTTCAACTGCTACCCTGGTGCTTGAGCTTAGAGGGTAGGAGTCTAAGTCTCTGTGTTGGTTCTTTCAGAGGAACTCCTTAGGACTCCAGACGTTTCTTCCACCAACTCAGTCTGCGCTGGTTTTTGCAGCCAGAAGTTACAGGGACTTTTCTTCTTGGCACTGGAACCCTGGGCAGGGGTTTCTGATGTGGGTCTGGGACTCCTCATTCCCAAGATATCCCTCCAGGATTTTTATCCACCACATATGGATGTGGGACCAGCCTGTTCTGCATCTGCACCCTTCCTACCAGCCTGGATGGATGTGGTTTCTTTAATTCTGTAGTTGTCAGACTTCCATTCATTTCAATTTCTGATGGTTCTAAGTGATGGATGTTCTATATTTTAGTTGTAATTTTGATGTGGTTGTCAGATGATTAATTTTAAATACTGTTTTTTATGAACAACTTTCTAGAAAATAGAATGTAACAAAATAGTACAATATTTAATATGAAATCGAAAGCACTTTTATGAAGAAAGAAAACTGCAGGCTTATACAGAAGGGTATAAAAATACCTGAATAAATGAAGAGACATAATATCTTCATAGACACAAAGGCATAAACTTAAAAAATTGTTATTTCTTTATCAAATATAATTTCAATAGATTTGAAGCTAGAAAAGAGATAAAGGACTATATGTTAATTATCCCTTGCTGCATACATAACAAACAAGCTGAAACTCAGTGATCTAAGTTAATAGTAAACTTTGTTTTAATTCCATAAAGTTTCTGTAGTCAGGGATTAGGACCAGTTTAGGTAGGTGGTTTGACTCAGGATTCCTGGTGGTTCTGCAGTCAAGATGTCACCAGAAATGTAGTCATCATTTACACCATATTTGTAGGAGGCAGGTAGCCCCAGTCCCTTGTTCTCAACTTGTGAAACATAACAATCACTACTCCCTAATAAACACATATTGTAGGCATTATAATATATATTGTACAAGTACCACATTGGCATTTCAAAAAAGTATTATCATGCTTTGTTTTTAATATAGGCTTATATTTTTGAAGCATAAACTGTTTTAAGAGGTTATGATGGTGGGAAGCTCAGACAAACCCTAGTTTCTTAAGATCATTTCTATCATACACCCATGATATTCTCTGAAAACTGCTTATATATTTTGTACTACTCTCCAATGATATGTGTTTTGGCTACTTTTGTGTATCTTCGTTTGCTTCCTGAATTATTTTCTGATAGTATGAAAGATTCTTAGTTTATTCCTCTCAAATAGGTTGGGGGTATCTGGCAACCAGATGCAATAGAACTCCTTCAGGAACTGCTTTCAAAGAGAGAAGTGGAAATTCACATTATGGTAATTTGTACTTAAAGCGTATATCATTGATTTAAATTTTTTGCCATAAAGTGTTACAGGTAACATAATTTGAGGTATATTTTTTTACGATGAATGATGTTCCTATTGTGAATGTAAATTACTTATTAATATAAAGAAGTTACCACTTTAGTTCCTAGGTTTATTTTAAAAGATTTTTATTTTTTACTTTTTTTTTTTTTTTTTTTTAAGAAACAGAGGGAGAGAAACATCAATGTGTGAGAGATACATGGATTGGTTGCCTCTTGCACTCCCCAACAGGCATGTGCCCCACAACACAGGCATGTGCCCTGAATGGGAAACGAACAAGCAACCTTTCAGTTCTCAGGCCACCACTCAATCTACTTACCCACACCAACCAGGGCCCTAGGCTTATTTTAAATAAAGCTAAACCTGAGCAGTTTTCTCAGAACTTTTATAAGCCTTAAAGTCAATAATTTGTAAGATTCTTTAACAACTTATTTTGATAGTAGGGAGCAATATCAAAGAATAAGAGGTATTTAAAAATATATTTGATAGCCCTGGCCGGGTAGCTTAGTTGGAGCATTGCATCATGAACCAAAAGGTTGCAGGTTCGATTGCTGGTCAGGGCACATACCTAGGTCATGGGTTTGATTCCCAATCAGGGCACATGCCTGGGTTGCGGATTCAGTCCCTGGTCAGAGAATGTATGATAGACAACTGATCGATGTCTCTCCCACACATCAGTGTTTCTCTTTCCCTCTCCTCCTTCCTCCTTCTCTCCCTTTCCCCTTCCCTCTCTCTCTGAAGTCAGTAAACATATTCTAGGGTGAGGATTTAAATAAGTAATTAAAAGTATGTGTGATAGTTTTCAGGGCAGGCAGCACATGGAGCACTGTACTAGTCGCAGGTAAAACCCTGTGCTCAAAGACCTTCCCCAGTCAGGGAAACAACTGGATGCCAGACATAAGTCTCAGGGCTACACTACAAAGTCACTTGCTGAGAGCCAAGTGGCTGGTAAAACATGTAAGTGCATAGGGACTTAGAGATAGTGAGAACTGAGGTAGTCCTTAAAGAAAAGATAGGAAAGTTCTCCTGATCAAGGAAATGGAAGGCACCAGGAGGCACAGAGACACAAATATTTTTTTTTTATAATGGCATATTTTTTAGGAAAGAGTATAACTGTTTGACTAGAAAGACAGAGAAGGGATGGAGACAGAAGAAAACTTGTGAGATCTCTGCTGTCAGGCTGTCCTGGAGTTTTGTGAGAAAAAAATGGTGGTGAATAGGATTTAAGAAAGGTAGAGGTCAGTTGGGCCCCATATGAGGTTTCTGAGCAGTGAGGTAAAAAGATTAACCTGCAGCTGTGTTTGAGGATTACAGTAGAAAGATACAACACTATAAAAGAAGTATTTCTCTACAAAAGCTGTGATGATAAGATGATAAAGACCTAAGAAGAGCCACAGACTCACTTAAATGAGAACATAGAGAAGCTTTCAATGTTGTTTGTGTTAGTTCCCAGAGTAACCCTCTGGTTACTCATAGCCTCTGTGGGACATCACATAAGTAAGGTAGAGGTTCAGATTTTTTAGTTTATTAAGGCAGCTTTCTCTGCTGCTTAGCTTAACAAAGGAGAACTTGTCCTATAGTAAGTCCTCCCAGGTATCTTATCAGTGTTTTAACTAAAGGACCTGCTGTGTACCAAACACTGCTCAGTGTCTCAGAAACCATGGATTGGCATCTGTGTAGCCATGCTGCGTTCCAAACTTTCCCCAGGCCTGGAGGTACAGCAGTGAACTGAATAGTCAGAAATTCCTGCCTTCGTGGAGCTTCCATTTTAGTGGTGCAGAACAAAATTAAAACAAAAGATAAGGTATGTTGGTTAGTGACAAGTTCTGGGAAGAAAGATAAAGCAGGAAAGGCTGACAGGTAGAGGTGAAGCCAGGGAGTAAGTCATTTTAAATAGAATGGTCAGGGCGACAGCACTACAAAGGTAAGGTTCGAGTAAAGGCTTTAGAATGGTGAGAAAGCAAGGGTACCTGGAGAATAGTGCAAAGGGCTCCAAGGCAGGAGCTCACCTAGACTGTTCAAGTACGGCCAAGGAGCCTCTGTAGCTGGAGCAGAAGGATCAAGACAGAGAAGGGGTGGAGAGAGAAGAAAACTTGTGAGAGCTCTGCTGTCAGGCTGTCCTGGAGTAAGGGAGTGGCATGATCTGACCTAATATTCTAGTGTTTTAACTCTGCCTAATAGAAACTTAATAGTAGAAAAACAGAGGCAGAGAGCTCTGCTGGCAGGCAATTACAGAAACTGAGCAGAGACCTGACTTTGGACTCAGTGGTAAAGGGCAGAGGATGAGACAGGTCAGCTGATGAATATGTGCCTGTTCAGTACCTGATCACAGCTCAGGGACTGAAGAGCCATTAACATGATGCCTTCTAGACTGCTGTTAATCATTCCATTTCTGCCATTCTTGAATTTATAACTAAGCTTTGTTCTTTTTACCCCTGAAAATAACTTTTCTTTCTCCTTCTACTTGGTGTAATTATTAGTATCATCTAAAGATGAGGTGTAGTAATTTTCTAGTAAATAAGCATAAAACTCTCTACCTTACTGATATGTAAATATATTTCACAAAAACAAAAATAATATAATACTGCCTCATAACCTGCCAAAACACCATGAAGAAAATTTTATGGAATGAGTCATTAGTCAAACTGATAATACTATGGCTTTCAGAAATCTAATTTTTTTTTTTTTTTTTTTTTTTGCTGACTAAAATCTTAATTTTCAAAAAGACTTTATTTTGATAGTAATTTTTTAAATCAAACTGAAATAGGAGTTACCTGAAAATCCATGGGAGAAATTATCTGTTCATCTCTATTTTGATGGAATGTCACTTTCTTATTTTATGGCACACCATAAATATTGTACTTTTGAACATTCTGAGGAGATACTGAAAGAAGTAAGTGAACTATTTTTCTATAAAAATCTAAATTAGAGAAAAAAAGTTCTGGTTAAAATGTTCTATGTTTGTCTTACACCTCAAGTCTTCAATATGATTCTACTTGCCTGATATGTTGAGAGATTAGAGAATTTGTAAATTTTTCATTCAGAAAGTGATACACTGTATGCTTTATATGTGTCCTACAAAAGACTAATTGCATTAAAATTCAGTGAATGTTTCTGTCTTCAAACCTAGCAAGAAGCCCGTATGGTAGTCAATATTATTCAAATAGAGATGTAGGTAGTAAAATCTTAATAGAATTTACTGCCGGAAGAGGACTCTCTCCCAGATAAAATGATTTTACTTTTATTTGGCATTATACAATTACCCCCATTTTGCCTGCATACAGGAAACTCAGAGCCAGATTTTAAGCTTAGCTTCAATAAGTAGCCCAGTCCAATTACTTGTTGCTTCTGTTTTTAATATTTTAAAAACATAATTAGCCTATTATAGATATGGGTTCACATTGCAAGCTGCTGTAAAGTACTATTCATCATAAATATTATAACAGCATTTTATATGGCAAGATATTTTTATTTCTATAGTTATAGTTCACTTGTCAGTTTTTGAATATTCATTTTAGTGATAGAACAAAACTAAACATTGAGAATTCAGTTGAATATAGAAACTGCTTCTTCTCTCAAATAGTAACTGTGATACTACTTAGTTTTATACATGTCACCCTCACTGCCAGCTTTTTCTTTTAAGGAGATGAGTGTGTGCATGTACATTTGTACCCTCATGTGTTTGTGTAAAATGTGTTTCCTCTATCTGTTAAATAGGTTTTATAAAGATTATTTAGTCTCTTAATGTTACACTTCATTGTTAACGTTTAAAGAGAAAGGTAAGAGCTCCCACTCTCATAATGAACTAATTACAGTTGACATGTTTAGCATAGTTTTGAGGATTTTTACTGTTGCAATATTCAGATTCTCAGAACCTTAGATTTTCCCCATAGTTAACCTGAAATAACTAAATGAATGCAAACAAGGACATGCACCCAATTTTTATGGAGATGAAATATGAAAGTGCCTTAAAATGATATTACATAAACATGGTTTTATTCATTAATAATATTGTATTTCAGAAACCAACAGATTCCAGTAAAAAGTATGAGGAGGAAAAATGGGAAATAAGGTTTCAGGTAAGTTTCAATCAAAATATTTTGGAAACTTTGGACACTGTTAATACAGAGAATCTGATTCAAAATCAGGAAGTAAGCATTTTCTTTTATATCAGTTTCATTGAGGTATATATAATTCACACACCATAAACTTCAACTTTTTAAAGTGTGCAATTCAGTAGTTTTTAGTATATTCACTGAGTTAACAATCATCATGACTATCCAGTTCCACGTTCCATAACCCCAAAGAGAAGCCTCACCAACAGCAGTAACTTCCCATTCTTCTCTTCCCCGGTCAATGTCCTGAAATTTTCACTCTGTGGATTTGCCTATTCTGGACATTTCTAATAAATGGAATCACACAATACCAAGCTCTTTGTGACTGGTGTCTTTCTTTCAGCATGATGTTTTCAAGGTTCATTCATGTTGTAGTATGTGTCTTTTTCATGTCTGAGTAGTATTGTGTGAATAGACCACATTTTGTTTGCCCATTAATCTGTTGATGGATACGTGTTAACTTCCATGTTTTTGCAGTTGTGAGTAAAGTTACTATGAACATTTGTGTGCATGTTTTTTGGTGGATGCCTGCCTGTTTTCACTTCTCCTGGGTATGGACTTAGGAGTGGAAATACTGTTTATCCATTCCTAAGTGTTTATCCTAATATTTATCCTAACTTAGGAGTAGATAAACAGTATTTCCACTCCTAATACTGTGACTTTGTTTATCATTTTAGGGACCTCTCCGAGACTATCTTCCAAAGGGGCTATACCATTTTCCTTTGTACTGAGAATACACAAGGGTTCTATTTTTTCCATACTCTTACCAACACTTATTACCTGACTTTTTCCTAACTATCCTAGGATTAGTGCGAAGTGTACTATTTCACTCTGATTTTGATTTGTGTTTTCCTGATGATAGTGAGCTTATTTTCATGTACTTTTTGGCCATTTGTATATTTTCTTTGGAGAAATTTCTGACACCAAAAACAAAGACAACAAAGACAAAATTAAACAAATAAGACATCAAACTAAAAAGCTTCTGCACAGCAAAAGAAACAATCAACAAAGTGAAAAGGCAGCCTACTGAATGGAAGAAAATATTTGCAGATCATATATCTAATAAGGAGCTAATATCCAAAATATATAAAGAAATCAAACAACTCAGCAAAAAAAAATCAGTTAAAAAGATGCACAGAGGATCAAAATAGATATTTTTCAAAAAAAGACATATAGATGATGCCCTGGCTGGGTAGCTCAGTTGATTAGAGCATTATCCCATACACTAAAACATTGCAGGTTTGATTTCTGGTCAGGGCACATACCTAGGTTGAGGGTTTGATCCCCAATCAGGGTGCATATGGGAGGAAGCCTATGAGTGTTTCTCTCTCCCATCCTTACTCCCTCCCTAAAATCAATTTTAAAAAAATATCCTTGGGTGAGGATTTAAAAAAATTTAAAAATATACAAATGGCCAGCAGGTACGTGAAAAGATCATCAGCATCACTAATCATCAGTAAATGATGATTACAAATCATAATTTTGGTACAGGAATTTTGATACACATCAAAACCCCAATGAGATATCACTTCACCTTTTAGAATGGCTATTACCAAAAAGGCAAGAGATGACATGTGTTGGCGAGGATGCAGAGGAAAGGAGATCCTCATGCACTGTTTATAGGCCTGCAAATTGGTGCAGCCTCTATGGGGAACAGTATAAAGGTTCCTCAAAAAATGAAAAATACAACATATGATCCAACAATTCCCCTTCTAGGCATATATCTAAAGAAACAAAATTACTATCTTGAAAAGATACCTGCACACCTGTGTTCACTGTAGTATTACTTACAATAGCCAAGACATGGAAACAACCTGAGAGTCCATTGACAGATGATTGGGTAAAAAAATGTGAGCTTCTACCCTTCGTGACAACATGGATGAAACTGGAGGGCATTACACTAAGTGAAATAAGCCAGGCAGCAAAAGACGAATGCCATATGATCTCACCTATAAGTGGAACCTAATCAACAAAACAAACAAATGAGCAATATAGAACCAGAGACATGGAAATAAAGAACAAACTGACAGTGACCAGAGAGGAGGGGGAAAGGAGGGTAATGGGGGACAGAAGGGGAAGGGTCAAGCAAAGGAACATGAATAGAGGATTTGCGGGCATGAACAGTGGAGGGGGACAGGGTTGGGGTGAGCAATGGGGAAAAAGGCGAGATAACCGTAACTGAACAACAATAAAAAAAGTGTGATACACACACACACACACACACACACACACACACATATAAATATAGATACAAATACAGTATGAAATACTACTTAGACGTGGAAAGGAAACCCTGCCATTTGTGACATTGAAGGACCTTGAAGTCATGCTCTGAAATAAGTCAGAGAAAGATAAATACTGTATGATCTCATTTGTTTGTGGAATCTGAAGAAACTAGTTCATAGGTAGAGAGAAAAGATTGGTAGTTGCCAGAGATGGGGAGTGTTAGAGGTGGGGGAAATTGGTGAAGATGGTCAAAAGGTAAAACTTCAGTTATAAGAGAATTAAGTCCTAAGGATGTAATATACAGCATAGTGACTAATGTTAACAACACTATATTGTATATTTGATAGTTTCTAAGAGAATAAATGTTAAATACTCTGAGATCAGAAGGAAAAAGTTTTTCTAACTATATGAGGCAATTGATGTTAAGTAGACTTACTGTAGTTACCATTTCACACAGTATGTACCTATATCGAATTATTATGTTGTATACATGGACTAATACAGGATATATATCAACTATATCTCAATCAAACTGGATAAAAATGGAAAATAAAAATAAAGAATGGGGAAAAAAATTCCTACCCCTTTTTACCTGGGCTTTGACTTCTGGTTTGCCTACCCTATAATTTCCTGTGTTTTTATGGTTTTATATTTTCCGTATGCAAGTCCTTGATCAAATACGTGATTTGCACATGTTTTTCTTTTCCCATTCTGTGGGTTGTCTTTTCACTTTCTTGGTGGTGTCCCTCCATGAAAGCACCCGAGTTTTTCATTGTAATGAGTCTAATTTATCAATTTTATATTTTGTCACAGGTGCATTTTAGTATGGGAAGTAACAGTTTTAATAAATTTTCCTCATTTATAAGTAGAATTTCATTTCTGTTCTAAAAATACATGCTTATTGTAAGGTGACATATAAGAAATTAGTAAAATTCAACAGTAAGGTAGTAGTCACTTTTTTTGTTCAACTCTACTAAATGGTACAGATATGTTTTGTTTTGTCACCAGTTTGGAAATGTTAAATAGTAATAAATTAATCTACAAATTTGAATGTGATTTTACTTCATATGCTAATTACTATATTCAAGAATTTTTTTTAACTTTTCAAAAAGAAAAACTGCCCACATTTTTATATGTATTTGCTTTTAAGAACTGCTAACTGCTATGATCCTTTTGGGAATCAACAGAACTTTTTATTCCTTATGCTTTTATAGACCTTAAAAGAGAGCACTCTTTTTCTTTTCTTGGATAATTTTTAACTTACTCAAATATTCTCTTGGGATTTCCTATATTATTTTAGTTTTTATTATAAAATGGACTTCCAGCCAAGATGGAGGTGTAGGTAGATACACCTTGCCTCCTCACACAACCAAAAGAAGGACAATAGCAAATTTAAAAACAAAAAACCAGAACTGCCAGAAAATCAAACTGTATGTGAGTCTGACAATCAAGAAATTAAATAATAAACATTCATTCAGACCAGTAGGAAGAGCAGAAATGGGCAACCGGTGCGGAGAGGACATGCGGCAAGGCAGCTGCTGGAGGACCAGGTGGGCAAGGCAGCGGCTGGCAGACCAGGCAGCCCCACATTTGCATGCAGATAAATGGGAGGAACAGCTAGGGAGCCAGACAGACCGCACAATCCAGGGTTCTAGTACAGGAAAAGAAAACCTCAAAAGCTCTGGAAGTAAAAACCTGTGGGGGTTGCAGTGGCAGAAGAAACTCCCAGCCTTACAAGAGAGTCCATTGGAGAGACCCACAGGGTCCTAGAATGGACACAAACCCACCCACCCAGGAATCAGCACCAGAAGGGCCCAATTTGCTTGTGGGTAATGGGGGAAATGACTGAAAGCCGGCTGAGAGCCCAGCAAGTGGCATTGTTCCCTCTCAGACCCCTCCCCAACACACAATGTCAATTGAGCAACCTGGATTTCTCCCCCCGACCCTAGCAAATAACTAAGGCTTCACCCCTTCCAGTGTAACTGGTGTGCTGAGACAAAGAAATATGGCCCAAATGAAAGAACAGATCAAAGCTCCAAAAATAGAACTAAACGATGGACAGATAGTCAACCTATCAGATGCACAGTTCAAAACACTGGTAATCTAGATGCTCATTGAATTGGTTGAGTATGGTTGCAAAGTGGAGGAAAAAGTGAAAGCTATGGAAAGTGAAATAAAGAAAAATATACAGGGAACCAACAGTAAAGGGATGGAAACCAGGACTCAAATCAATGATTTAGAGCAGAAGGAGGAGATAAACATTCAACCAGAACAGAACGAAGAAATAAGAATTCAAAAAAAATGGGGAGATGCTTAGGAACCTCTGGGACAACTTTAAATGATCCAACATCTGAATCATAGAGGTGCCAGAAGAAGAGGAAGAGCAAGAAATTGAAAACTTACTTGAAAAAATAATGAAGGAGAACTTCCCCAACCTGGCTAAGGAAATAGACTTCCAGGAGATCCAGGAAGCTCAGAGAGTCTCAAAGAAGTTAGACCCAAGGAAGCACACACCAAGGCACATCATAATTAAGTTACCCAAGATTAAAACTAAGGAGAGAATCTTAAAAGCAGCAAGAGAAAAAGAGATAGTTACCTACAAAGGAGTTCCCATAAGACTGTCAGCTGATTTCTCAAAAGAAACCCTACAGGAAAGAAGAGGCTGGCCAGTTTTCAAAGTCATGAAAGACAAGAACCTACATCCAAGATAAGTCTATCCAGCAAAGCTATCATTTAGCGTGGAAGGGCAGATAAAGTGCTTCCCAGGCAAGGTCAAGTTAAAGGAGTTCATCATCACCAAGCCCTTATTTTATGAAATGTTAAAGGGACTTACCTAAGAAAAAGAAGATCAAAAACTATGAACAGGAAAACGGGAGGGGGAGGGTGAAGAATGGGAGGAAAAGTACAGGGAATAAGCAGCATAGTAGTGGTTACAAAATAGGCAGGGGAAGGTTAAGAATAGTGTAGGAGATGGAGAAGCCAAAGGACTTATATGTAAAAACCATGGACATGAACTAAGGTAGGGGGGAGGGAATATGCTGGGGGTTGGGGTGGTACAGGGTGGAGAGAAATGGGAGAGGAAATGGGACAACTGTAACAGCATAATCAATAAAATACATATTTTTAAAAAGGAAGCAAAGTGTTGGTGATACATACATGGGTGGTCCAACTATAAAGAAAAGCAAGAAAACAATTACCTCAAAAGGTGGGAGGAGTTGTCACTGGGTAGGGGCTCATGGGGTCTTCTATGTCCTTTATTCTTTTTTAAAAAAAATATTTTTTTAGAGAGAAGGGAAGGGAGGGAGAGAAACATAGATGTGAGATGGATCAGTTGCCTCTCACACACGCCCCAACTGGGGACCAGGCCTGCGACCCATGCATGTCCTCTGATGAAATCAAACTGGGACAATATCCAACCCACTGAGCTACACCAGTCAGGGCTGTCCTTTATTCTTAAGGTGATGATGATACACAGTTGTCCACGTAAGTGTTTTTTTTTTAAGCCATACATTTATATTTTGTACTCCTGAATATAAAATACATTTCACATTTAAAAGTCAAATGTTAATCTTGGGTGAGGAGTGAGAATAAAAAAATCATTGGTTTCATAGGATAGTCATGAGGAATCAGTTGAGTTCATGGACACATATTGAGTGGTACACAATATGAATTCAGTAAGTACTGGCTAAAAAATAAAAATGAAAAAATAAAATGCATACTTATTCTAAAAATACTACAGAAATGTGAAAAGCAAAGAAGGTCAAACACTCAGGTCCTACTAGGCAGTGGCGTTACTTTTACATATTTGTTAACCATTTTTCCAGAACATTATGTATGTGCAGATATGTATACATTAAAGGAAAACTTTCATGTGGACGTTTTTTTACACAAAATTTTAATTGAGAGGGCAAGAGAATTCTAAAGATCCTTTGTTTACTCATCACATTTTCCATTTTGTGATATCACTGTCAGAGAGCTTGCTTTCTGCTAATCAAAAGCAAGTTGCACTGTCATGAAGTTTGATAGTGTAGTGGATTTCTGTAGTAGTCATTCTGAATTTGAATTTTTTGTGGTGTTTTAGGAATTGCTTTTGTCTGAAATAGAGACCCCTATTTTACCACCGTATTTGCCTTCATCTCTGCCTCCCCCAGGAGAACTCTATGCTGTTCAAGTTAAGCACGTGGTCTCGCCTAATGAGGTATGTAATTTAATTTGCATGATTAGTTGTTGGTTAAAAACGTAACAAGCAATCTTGGTCTTTAACTCTTAAGATTCTCATTTTCATCTTACTGACTTTAAATAATTGAAACTTGGTGACTACTAGTTTGCCTACGATGTAATTTCCTGTTCAGACATTTGTTGATACTTACGGCAAGTATTTCTTAAGCACTGGCTGGTTTTCCCAGTGTTGTGTTGTTGTAGTTATACTTATATCAAATATTTAGATTTTAAAACTGTACCTATTTCCACCTATGAAATCTTCTGCGTCTCACTCCCCTGCCCTCTTTCTGCAGGAAGTCTAGATGCTCTTCGCACTGCTCTGGGTTTTTCCATACCAGTGATACCCTTCTAATGCCCTCTCCACTTTCTTACAGTATTTGCATTTCCCTACCAGACTGTCCACTCCATGACAAAAGGGATTTTTGTCTCTTTTGGTCATTAGCGTGTCCCCTAGAACCTAGAATACTGCCTGATACATAGTAGGCACTCAATAAATATGGATTGAATGAATAAATACACTACTGAAAAGATCTTTAGCCAACAAGAAAGCAAGCAATGACAGGAAGGCAACAGAGTCCCTTCAGCCAGTTTCCAAAGTAAACCTGTCCTTCACTGGCAAGAAAAGAATTTGCTCTTCAGTTTCATCAGAGAGCACAGGAGCATACAACCACTCTTGGGTTTTATAATGGTTTTTTGTATTATTTATTGCTCTATGACAGATTACCCCAAATTTAGCAGCTGAAAACAATACAAATGAGAGCCAGTAATCAGAAGCTCTTTAATTCTGTACTGGTTCAGGACCATTCAAGGTTACAATCAAAATGTTGGGGTTGGGGGAGAGCACTGAAGGATCCACTTTCAAAAAGACTCACATGATGCTGCCTGGGGGCTCAGTGCCTTGCCCTGCAGGTCTCTCCTTTGGCTGGCTGACAGCACAGCTTTCCCCGGGAGAGCAGTGACTCCAGCAAGACAGAGGCATTATATCTTCCCTAACCTGATCTCGGCAGTCACATACCATCCCTCTGTCATGTTCTTTTGGCCACAAAGATCAACTCCAGTATGACGTGGGGGAGGAACTTTAAAAGGAATCATTGGGGCCATTGTTGGAGACTGTCTACTGCAGTGATTTTTGTCTGTATAAATGAATACTAGAAGAATTTGAAAGTTTTCTCCTTTCCTTCCCCCCACTTAGGTGTATATTTGCCTTGATTCTGTAGAAAAGTGTCATCTCTGTAGCCAGCATAGTGACACAGATGACAGTGGAGTCAGCTGGGAATCTGAGTCTGAGAGCCTCAGTGAAGCTCTGCGGAGGCTCAACACTAGTGTGGAGACCTTATTACCTCTGACGGACTTCAGAACAGGTAGCCCACAGTTTCGGAGTACCATGGGATTCTTAGTGAAACTTGTTCTGTTTGATTGGACTGATGAGGTTGGTGATTTCTAATGTTATCACACTCCCTGGATGTGCTCACCTCTGAATTCTCAAGATGCTGTAGATGACCTTGCCCATTTTCTAAGCCATCTAAGAGAAGGTAAGTATTCCATCGGGGCAGTTTGCTTTTCCAGAACTTCAGTTCATTGGAAAATTGCATGAAGATGTTTTGTCTAAGCTTGAGGTTTTGCAGCTAGTTCAAATTGTGAGAGTTGTTAGGCAGTCATTTTAATTTCAAGCCACCTAAACTGATGATTTTAGAATTGGGGGCAGGGGAACTCAGGTCAAACTCTGCTCTTTTTTCTTTCTCATTTATTCTTACCCATATTTTTTTAAGTATATGTGATCCTCCTGTGAGGAGAGTACACAAGTACAGGTGTCAGCAATTCCTGAGTACTGAGTACGTCTCTGCATTTCTGTCCATACATGCTATCGAGAGATGTGTTTATTGTGTGCTTTGTACATACAGAGGAAGTGCTAAGCAAAGGAAAACATTGGCCTGATGTACTTGAATTTGCTCAATGAGATTTTTATCAGTTGTGACCCATGTTTAGCTGATGAGCAGCCCTTGCAGTTCCCTCTGCCTGGAATGTTCTTCTCACAGACTGGGAGCAATTTAGGCCTCTGCCCATCTCTTTCCCTATTGCAGGTCCACCCTGACGCCCTGCATGACGGGCACTGCCACCCTCCCTACCCCATCACACTCCATGCCTCCTACTCTCCTCTGTTAAATGGGGACTCCCAGTACTGCTGTGTCACCAGCAGTTAGGGCACCTTGCACAAGCAGGTGCTCATAAATGTCTGTTGAATGAAAGAATAAACTCACTATGGGTTTGTTTTTTTTTTGGTAAACTCAGATTTATAATCTGGAAGAAACAATTCTTCCTCCATTGTATTATTGTCTCAAGGGAAATCACACAAACCATCTGCATGATGTGATGATTCATGGAGCTGTACACATGTTTGTGCCTTCTGTAGGCCCTTCGCTCCTCACTGCACATATGTACCAGTTGATTCATAGGCAAGTGCCTAGTAAAGATGTACATTTGAATAAGTAATTTATGATGAAGGAATTGCTTTGTGGATTAAAAATGACAACTAGGTGGGTTTTTTCAGTGCTATTTTGAGATGTTACTGGGCCATGTTTTTGAGGCTGGATATGGTAAAAGTTGAAGGGGATTGTTAACCATGACTCAGCTGGTTGTTTACTACGCAGACAGATGACTCTTACTATTCTATTGATAACCTCTATATACACATACTTACAACTTTGATAAAAATTGTTTTTTAAAAATCTCAGCATTAGAGTACATAGTATTTAAGTGTCACTTGCCCACTACTTTTCTTTATAGAAATTTTGTAGAAGAGAATATAATAAAGGGAGGGGTAGGAGTGTAGAGCATGATGGGAATCCAACGTGTATTCTGTCTGCTCTGAAATCTGGAAGTATATAAAGGGAAAGCACATACTATTATAGTCATTGCCCCTCAACTTTACTCAAGCCTGGCATGCATTAGCATATTTTTTACTGAGCAAAGGCTTATGCCAGGTACCTGGTGGGACTGTGTGAGAACTAATGAGGAAGCAGAGAAGGAACATGTAAGTCCAGTGTGAGAACAGCTTATGCTAAAGCTGTGTGTCTGGTGCCATCAGATCAGAGACCATAAGAGTTGGCTTTATGAAGTCATGTTGGAGCTGATCTTTGAAAGATGTTTATCATAAAAAGGGGGGGTATGGGGGTCAATCCAAACGGTGGAACAGCCATGCACTGAATTGTGTTTAGGTGATACATTGAGGGTTGTGGTAGGAATTGCTTGGGAAGTGTATTATGAGCCCTGGAAACCAAACTTCTCGGGACTTGATATTGCAGGTAGTTCAGGTGCCACTAAAGAATTTTAAACAAGAAAGCAATGTATTTGAAATTTTTATTTAATTCTATTGGTTTTATAGAGAATGTGTTGGTGGAGGACAAACTTGAAAGCAGGAATAGCAGAAACTGTTTTATTATCCTCTGCAGAAAACGGTGACTCAAAAGAAAAGATATTTGGGGAATATGGAGGTGGGGGGTTGTGGAAGGGTGACAGAAGCCCTGGGCATCCACAGGAGTAAGAGCTGTGAGCATGGGAGAATGCCTTTCTTCGAGGTGTGTAAGGTCTAACAAACAGAAAAGGGCACAAGCTGACATACGGCTAACTGTTGAGTATTTAATTCTGAATCATGGATATACAGTGATTACATTTCCTTTGTACTTTACTGTTTTAAAAAATAGTAACAAAATAAAAGGCAGTATTATTTTCCCATTTTCCTTTCTTTCCAGAAATGCCTTGCCTGGCAGAATATCATGATGGATTATGGTATAGAGCAAAGATTGTTTCCATTAAAGAATTTAATCCTCTAGCCATCCTGGTTAAATTTGTGGATTACGGGTCAACTGAAAAGCTGACAATAAACAGGTTTTTTAAAAAGTCAACTTACTTGAATTAGAATTCTTAGTTTTCTTTTGTTTTTTTTTAATTTTATTTTATTTTTTCAAATACATTTGTCTCTGCCTCCCCCCCACCACTTTCCCTTGCCCTCTCCCTCCTTCCCTCCCTCAGCTCTTCCCCTTTGGTTTTGTCCATGAGTCCTTGCTATATGTTCCTTGACTTTCCCCTTCCCTTCCTTTTGTTTGTTTGTAATAATTATTAGGAAGATTTTGACTTTTAAAAGAAAATGTTTTAAAACTGTTGATATACTGGTAATGTCTTGTCAGTTTTTTTACTGTGGCAATATAATACATAAACATAAAACTTACCACTTTACCCATTTTTAAGTATACAATTACCAGTAGTTGTCATTCAGGACTTTTTCATAAATCCCAAACAGAAACTCTGTACCCATTTAACAGTAACATTCCATTCTGTTTCCCTCAACTCCTGGTACCACCGTATATTCTGCCTCACTTAAGTGTAATCATACAATATTTGTCCTTAATGTCTTAGTTTACTTAACATCAGTGTTCCTCCAATTGTTGCACATATCAGAATCTCGTTATTTTTGTGGGTAATATGTCATTTTATGTGTAGACTACATTTTGTTCACCTGTTGGTGGACACTTGGGTTTTTCCATCTGTTGACTGTTGTGATGTTGCACTGAACATGTACAAGTAGTTGTTGGAGCACCCCCTTTCAGTTGTTTGAGGTGTATACTTAGGAGTGGAATTTCTGAATCACATAGTAAATGTGTTTAACTTTCTGATGATTTTACATTTCCCACCAGCAATGAAAAGGGTTCCAATTTCTCCACACCCTTGCCAACAGTTAATTTTTCTTTTTATTTGTAATGTCTTTTTAAATTGTGGTAAAAATACCCATGTCACAAAATTTACTGTCTTAACCATCTTTAAACGCATAGTCAAGTAGTGTTAATTCTGCTTACATTGTTGTGCAGCCAATCTCCAGAAGTCTTTTCATTTTGCAAAATTGAAACTCTGTACCCATTAAACAAAAATTACCATCCCCGCTCATCCAGCCCCTGGCAGCCACCATTCTATTTGTATGAATTTGACTGTTGTAGGTATCTAATGTATTTGATTTTTGTGACTGGAGTATTTCACTGAGCATAATGATCTCAAAGTCCATCCAAGTTATAGCTTGTCAAAATTTTGTTCCTTTTTAAGGCTGAGTTGTATGTTTAATACTACATTTTATGTATCCATTTATCCATCAGTGGGCACTTGGGTTGATTCTACCTTTTGGCTCTTGTGAATAATGGTGTTATGGGTATACAGATAAATCCTTAAGGCCCACTTTCAGTTCTTTTGGGTATGTATATACCCAGAAGTGCAATTGCTGGGTCATGTACTCATTCTATTTTTAGTATTTGGAGGAACCACCAAACTGTTTTCCTTATCAACTATGCCATTTAAAAATTCCAACTAAGTGTCCAGAGTTTCCAGTTTCTCTTCATATCCTCACCAACACTTATTTTCTGTGTGATAATGGTCATTCTAATGGATGTGAGTTGGTATCTCATTGTGACTTTGATTTGCATTTCCCTAGCTAAGAATCTTTTCGTATATGTTGGCCATTTTTCTTTTAGAAGTGTCTATTTTTAATGCATATTTTTTCTTTCATTCTGTAGGTTGCCCTTTTACTCTTAGGTCCTTTGCAGTTTTTAGTTTGATGTAGTCCAATTTATTTTGTTCTCGTTCCCCATGCTTTTGGTGTCATCACCAAGAAACATTGCCAAACCCAAACTTCCTGTTTTACAGTGTTAGCTGTTAGAGAATTTTAATTGTAACATTCTAAAAATTTTAATTTAAAAATTTATTTTGTGACAGACTGCGTCAGATTCCTCTCCACCTGATGCAGTATCCAGCCCGGGCCATAAAGGTTCTACTGGCAGGGTTTAAACCTCCCTTAAAAGACTCAGGAAAGACAAGAATACCATATTGTCCCAAGTGGAGCATGGAAGCATTGTGGGCTATGATAGACTGTCTTCAAGGAAAACAACTTTATGCTTCTACCATGGTAAATATCTGTCTTGATTTTCCAGAATCCTTTTGAAGTTATTTCTAGAGTCCCTATTCACTTTCTACAATGCTTTCAGTCCATGCAATTCGAGATGCAGAAATGCTTCAACTAAAGTATGTAAAGCTGTAAATACTATAGGACTAATTTTAATACTTGTTAAAATGTCTTAATGATGTCATGACTAAGATAAAAGTGATCAAGATAAGTCTCCTGTAATCAGAAAACTTAAAAATCAGTGCGGGAAACACATAAACCATTATTTAAAGAGAGTAACTTTGGGGAGTGCAAAAGCAGGAGTGATGGGGATATGGTATCTGATACTCCTTAATAGGCACTCCAGCACTGATATTGACATAGGACAGGGAAGTGACATTTCCACTGCATCCTACCAGGTAAGTAGGAAGGGCCAGAAGAGGGATTCTGGTCAAAGTCATAGAAAGGCTGGAATCATACTAATCCCATAACAATTTTGAATTACTTAATGCAGTATAACATCTATCAAAATAAGAAACTTCAGGTGATGTTTGGTGTAAATGTGCTTTGTTCTTTAGAGATTAGCATGTCACAAAGGGGAGCCCACACACAGAATCCAGCCTGCACCCAAGTTTTATATAGTGCAGTGTTTTAAAATTGGAAAATTTTACCAATTTTTTTGTCGTAAGTCAAAAATTTTACTAGTGACTTATGATTAAGTTTATAAAATGCCAGAACTGTAGTTCTCCCTTCCGAACCCTGTCACTTGGAAATATTCTCTCCAATTCATCTCTGCCTCACACTGTTGTTTCAGCCCAACCTGTCCAGCTTTGGGGACCCGAGATTTTAGGATTCCTGGTATATTGGCTGTGACAAAAATGAGCTCTTAATAAAACAGTGCTGTAACTAGAAAGTGCTTTTTGAAAACCTCTGTACCTATCCAGCTCCTGTGTGCATATGGAGCAAATCACTTGTGCAGTTTTCTCTCAAGAAGCCCCTGAAAGAGAATATAGACAGGGCAAGTAAATGTTCGTAGAGATGCATATTTATTTACCTCTGTGAGTAGCAGTCAAAATTTGGTCAGTTTCTGCATAAATGTATAATGCTTAATGTGTAGAATGTAAATGAATTTGAATGGGGATGGTGGTGTTTAAAGCATGTTGGTTCAATCTAGGAAAACTTTACAGAGGACTTACATTTTAAATAAAATAGAAGGATGGGAAAAACATGATTTGTCAGGAAACCATTACATACCTTTTCAAAGTGCTGAATATAAATTCTAAGTAAGCTTGAGGATGCTTTTTCCCTCCTGCCAGAGGTACGAGGGAAAAAGCAGCAAAGACAGTGTTGTGCTTTCTTTACAACTGTATCTTAATTTTAGGCTCAGGCACAAGCACAAATCGTGACATTATATGAAGATGAACAGTATCCAGTTCATATGTCATTAGTAGAAATGGGGCTTGCAGAACAAGATGAATGATGTAAGTGTCACTTCTTGTTTACCTCCATAGTTGGCCCAAAGCAGGTGACTAATTCCTATAAAAGCACTTTTGAACTTTCCTTGATTTCTCAGAGAAGTGACAACAGAGCTCTCAACAAGAATCTCTCCTAGATTTCGTCTTCATAGGACCCTCACCAGTGAGGGCCAGTATCAGAAGTTCTGTAAGTGTAAGAATGCTTGGAAAGGCTCTCAAGACCATTCCTAGTAGTAGGTAGTTATGGGGGTAAAGAAAGCAGAAGAAAGGGGGGGCTCTATAAATAACTGAAGCATGTAATTGTATGGAATGCATATAGCATTGTTGAATAATCAAGGTCCTAGTAACCAAGTTATTAAAGTACTTGGGTAACAAGCTTACTCTTTGTCTTTACCCATTTATACAAAGTAACATTAAGCAAAGGTGTAAATAATACACATTTTGTTTTTCAGGTATACAGCCCAGAAGAAAGTTTTCTGTTGTATGTAGACCATTTCGGGCTGTTTTTCTTGACTTGTTCTGCAATAATGATAGCTCCTTCCTGCCTCCCCTTACATATTGAACTATTAGGAATTGTTTGAAAAATAGTTAATAAATATTTGTTCTCAAATATTTTTGCTTTCCTGTAATTTTGAAATGCTTTAGACTCATGGGGGAAAACCTATTTAATGTGTATTCAGCTTAAGAAATAAAGTAGTAGGCACCTGTAGTACCTCTTCCTCAATCATTCCCTTCCCTATGGAGGTGAGCACTACTGTGAATTGGGTGTTTCTCATTCTTCTATAGACTTTTATAATTTATTACTGTCTATGATTCCATCCATAAACAAGATAGTATTGCTCTGTATATTTTTAAACATGTGCAGTGTCACACAGATACCTTTAGTTTCCTATTTTATTTCCACTGTTTATCTGTATTGGTATATTTTATTCACTTTCAGTGTTACATTCATCTGAGCACATAATTTATTCTGTTGCTAAGATATTTTTAGGTTGTTACCAATTTTCTAGTGTATATACTTAAGAGTAATTCAAGGTCATGGGCAACTGCTTTCCAAAAGGATGTTTTGCCAGCTTACGGCATCATCAGAGTTCCTTGCCAACATAGCCACACCATTATTTACAGTATATGGTGCAAGTATAAACAGGTAGCCCATTATAGTCACTTTTTATTGTTTGCTCATGTCCTTTGTTCATTTTTTTGTTGAGTTCTTTGAAACTATCTTACTGATCTATAGGATTCTTTAGATATTCTTGATGTTAATCCTTTGTCCAGTATATGTATCTTTTCTTAGTCTGTGGCTTATTACTCTTTTTTTGTGACATGTTAAGACAAACTTCACTCACCAACCTTTTAAGGTTTGGGCTTTCTATAACTCATTAAAAATTCTTCTCTATCCTAAGGTAACATATATATAACTCCTTATTTTCTTTGAAAAGTTTTACACTTCATATTCTGTTCTTAAATCATCTAAAATTACAACATTAAGCTTTTTAAAAAAAAATGAGTTATTGCCAACACTATTGTCATTCTGCACTAAGTGACTAGGCCCACCTATTAATTACGCAGTTTTAGGTGTAGATGACTTGCCATTCCTTCAAGAATAGCTTGCTCCTGTCAGCCAGCTATCTGTGGCAAATCAGCTATGCCCCTCTGTTCTCAAGTGTCACATTTTGACCATTACCCTCATTGTAACTGCTTTCTCCTCACTCTGAGTTTATCTGTACTCACAGAATGAATGAACTCTTCTGTTTGACCTTCCCATTCCAATACAGTTAAAGAACTTTTGTAATAGATGAAATGCTTTAATTGTAGTACTAATTAAACCTAGTAATAGTTTGACTGGTAAAATTCTTACTGCTTGAGTAAACTTTCTGTGCAAGTCCTTGTTGTATGGCTGATGTCCTATGGAAAAGTTATACGATACTGTTTCTTGTTTTGTTAGTATCTCCAACCAATAAAAACACGCACTTATTTTTAAAGTTTACACAGTCTATAACAAAATAATCTTTCCTTAGATGTGCAACTGTAGAAAGACAGAGTAGGAGAGTTAAAAATGAAAGCTGTCCTTGTGCATTTCAAACATTATTAAAAACGTATAAATTTTACTTAATATTCCAAGTATAATCTTTCCATTTTTACACACACACAGAATACATATATATTAAACCACACAATCCATAAGAAATGTACATTTTTTTTAACAAGAAAATCAAGTTAGTGTTATTTCATGATTAGTCACACACAGGAGCATTACAAGTTTGTATCCATTAGAACATTACCATCCTTGTCTTTAACTCTCACTCGACCAGACACGTATTTTGTTTCTTCATGACCATTTGCATAGACAGTTTTAACAGTGCCATCTGGATACTCCCGTCTCTTGAACTGGGCAGTGTGTAGTTCTCTCTGGCCATTATTAAACTCTATGATTTTGCTGCCATCTCTGTAAATTTAAAACAGAATTTAATTTCTTGTCCTTTTCTCTGTACAAAACCTTCTTTGCAAATTCTTCCACAGTGTTCCTGCTATAGGTGGGTAATTCCAATTATCAGATTAGCACTTACATGTACACATAAAAAGAAGCTTTTTTGAAAAATAAATTGATGCTTTCATCACAAAATGCTTAGGCTTCTTTATTTTTTAAATTTATATGTGTTCCACCTCTAAAAAACTTAGGCCCTGTATGAAAATATGGCATTCAGGTTTGACAGTTATTCACAAAGTTAAAAGCCACCTGAGTGCATGTCTGCATCAGGCTGGAGGAGGGAAAGGGAAGGATGAGTCCTGAGGCCAGTTTTGAAGCAGAATATGAAAAATGGTTGATACCAAGTTGACTTGCTTGACTGTGTGTCTGGGACATCCACATTGGACCCAAAATATGGAGAGATGAGTACATGGAGTTCTTCATATTTTTTCCAATCTTTTATTGTAGAAAACGCCAAACATTCAAAATATAGTACACAGAGAAGGTTTTCCCCCAATTTTGGAATAAACTGCTATTAAACAAGCACCAGATAAAGTTTCAGCTACATTAAGGGGAAAAAACATTATCATGACCACAAGAAGTCCCTACATTATTTGAATTAGTGTTTCTACTTCCCGGTTTATGTCATAGACTTCAAGTCAGTTTAATCTGTCTGTGATGTGTTAGCTGTATTCAAGTTATTGGGTGCTTAACTGTCAATCTGGGAAAGGAAGGTTAAGAGACCTTCACCATGATTTGAATTAAAATGGTGATACAAGATGCTCATTACTGTGGACTAAAGAAGTCTCTAAGTCCTGGAAATAGATCACTCAAGGAAAAAGAAAGGTTGCTGATTTTAAAGAATGGGGTTGGGTGGCCAGAGGAAAAATGTGCTTATAAACTGGACAGGGAGATCAAGAAAAAGCATAAGCATCCGGGCCAGGTGGCTCAGTTTGTTGGAGCATTGCCCCATACACCAAAAACGTAGCAGGTTCAATTCCCAGTCAGGGCACATATCTAGGTTGCGGGTTCAATCCCCAGTTGGGGCACGTATAGGAGGCAACCCACAGATGTTTCTTTCTCCCTCCCCGCCTCTCTTTTCCTCTCTCTCTAAAATCAATAAAGATATCGAGTGAGGATTTAAAAAAAAAACAACATGGTCATTGGGTTATCTGTCCTTAAAACTGACAGGGCAGCTTTTCCTTCTGTGATTAATTCACTGCTTTCAAATTTCACCAAACTTATTTCTAAACAAATACTTGCCATTCTACTTTCCTGAAGTGCTGTATAGACTCGAGACTAAAGACTATATATTAGGATCTGTTTCAAACTAGTTCTGCTTCCAAAAGGCTGAGAACACTTCTCACCTGCTCGCTCTTTGCGCACTTCTACACTCACTGAAATTTTCAGTGATTTACAAAAATGTTTTTAAAATTTTAAAAATTCAGTTGGTAATAAAAGTTTAATCATAAAAACTGGAAAACCTACAAACAAATATAACAGGTATCATACCGTTGTACTCGGATGATTGTACCATCTGGGAAAATGCTTTCTTCTTGTCCATCAGCAAATAAGTTTTTGATAGTCTGGTCAGGAAATGTGATTTCTTTTCTTCCATCTGGGAAATGTTTTTCTGTTTAAAAATTATTATGAATATTTTATTTTTAAAGGAAGGGCAGAATTTAATAAGGAGAGGGCAGGGCAAGTTTCTACCTATCTGTCCACTTGAGAAATGCAAGACTTCTAGTCCTTCGGGGTAAGTGGTATGGGTGGTCTGGGCGGCTGCATAGTAGTAGATCTGTAAAGACACAGAGTCACTATGCCTTGTCTTCGAGATGCTTACACTACAGAGAAAACCAGCCCCGAGGAAACCTACCACTCTCTCATCTGGCATGACCTGCTTCACATCACCATTGAAGAAAGTGACAGTGACAGTCTTTCCATCTGCACTCACTTCTTTTTGAGTTCCATTTGGAAACAATATAACACGGTGCCCATCCTCATAAACCTTTTCTATCTACAAAAAAAGAAAAACATTATCAATATATAAGATTTCCTCCTGGACCACATGACAGAAATACCCCTCATTCTCTTCCTAATTGCCTACTTTGAAATTTTTCATAATAAAAAATAAAGCATTCTCTCAAAAGGAAAGAAAAGTTAGTAAACTAGCCAACTTCAAGTATTAACACATCGCCAATCTTACGTCACTTATCTCCCCCTAACAAACTCTTTGGTGGAGTTTTTTTAAAGCAAGCTGCTGACACCACCATAACCTTCATTACTGTTTTCCCTAAATTCACAAAAAAGGCTTTTTTACAGTTCATTTGAATCAGGATCAAAACCAGGATGTGTCTCATAAATCTTAATTTTTAACAGTCACCTCCTGTCCCCTGTGTCATTGAACATGTAAAATTTCCCACATTCTAGGTTTGATTGCTCCTATGATGGCATGTAACATCTAACATGTTCTCACAGCCCTTGTATTCCCTAAAAGGCCTAGTAGTTAGATCTAAAGGCTTGATTAACTTCCAGTTG